AAACCCGCCACCTTAGGTGTACGTGGCTGGCGCCTTAGCCGGTTGAGCTATAGGCGCTGAGCCTGTACTTTAGTTCTTAACCTTCTTGAGTAAAACCAAGTTTTTACTGCAGTTTAAATACTGCATTTTTATTTTATTTTTTACTTTTAATATACTATCATCTGATTATAAAAATTTACCAATATTCTGCAAAGGTGAGAATAACTTTCTCTTTAAATATAATCCAAAATGATCACTAGTGAAAATCTCTGAACAGTTCAGAATGCTTTTAGTACTACTGTCACTTGCCTCATTTTCTTGTGTAGGTTCACTCTCATTTGTAAGACATACTTGCAGTTGTTTTAGTATCAGAAAACCATGTTTAATCCAGCTCTACCTTAACATTGTGGTATATTTATATAAGACATATGAGGAAGAAAATGAAGATCTCTTGCTTTTGCTCTGCTTCAGGTTATGTCAATGGCGTTCTCACAGAAAAATCCCAAGAATCAATCAGAAACCCTGAATTGGCTATCAAATGCCATAAAAGAATTTGGTTTTTCTGGGTAAGTCAGAAAGAAATCAAATGGAAAATAATTAAATATTTACTAGTCTCTGACTGGTAATCATATTTGTCCTAGGCATCTCTGATTATTTCTGAAAAGCTAAAGCTGGGTTGTCTCATTTATATAAGACAAAACCACTTTTGTTTTCAAAAATCTATATATTGGCTTGTGTTCGTGCATTTATGTATTTATTTATTTATTTTTAGAAACAGAGTCTCACTTTGTCACCCTCAGTAGAGTGCCATGGCATCACACAGCTCACAGCAACCTCCAACTCCTAGGCTTAGGTGATTTTCTTGCCTCAGCCTCCCGGGTAGCTGGGACTACAGGGGCCCGCCACAACACCCGGCTATTTTTTTTTGCAGTTTGGCTGGGGCCACGTTTGAACCCACCATGCTTGACATATAGGGCTGGCGCCCTACCCACTGAGCCACAGGCATTGCCCTTTTTTTGTTGTTGTTGTCATTGTTGTTTAGCAGGCTCAAACCCACTGGCCTTGGTGTATGTGGCTGGCACCCTACACACTGAGCTACGGGCACCGAGCCTATTCCAGGCACTTTTAAAAAATCACTTCCTATATGGTGGCTCACACCTGTAATCTTTACACTTTGGAAGGCCAAGGCAGGTGGATTGCTTCAGCTCAGGAGTTTGAGAACATCCTGAGAAAGAGCAAAACCCTGTCCCTACAAAAAATAAAAATTAGTAAAACTAGCTGGGAATTGTGGTGGGCACCTGAGGTGACAGCTACTTGGGAGTCTGAGGCAAGAGGATCTCTTGAGCCCAAGAGTTTGAGGTTGCTGAGAGCTATGATGCCATGGCACTCTACTCAGGGCGGCAGAGTGAGACGATCTCAACTATAAACAAATAAATAAAGGGGGTGCCTGTTGCTCAGTGGTTAGGGCACCCTCCCCCTCCCGGGCCTGCTAAACAAAAAAAATAAAAATGGGTAGGGCGTCAGTTCTTTATCCTGCTTTATTTTTATTCCATTGTTCCTTTTTTATTTTTGAGATAGAGTCTCATGTTGCAGTAGAGTGTGTGGCGTCACAGCTCACAGCAACCTCAAACCATTGAGCTTAAGGGATTCTCTTGCCTCACCCTCCCAAGTAGCTAGGACTACAGGTGCCCACCATAACGCCCAGCTATTTCGTTGTTGCAGTTGTCATTGTTGTTTTTTAGCTGGGTTCAAACCCGCCAGCCTCAGTGCATGTGGCTGCCACCCTACCCACTGAGCTACAAGCTCTGCCTATTTTGGTTTTTTTGAGACAGTCTCACTTGGTCACCCTTGATAGAGTGCCATGGTGTCATAGCTCACAGCAGCCTCTAACTCCTGGACTCAAGCTATCCTCTTGTCTCAGCCTCCCAAGTTGCTAAGACTACAGGTGCCTGCCACAATGCCCAACTTTTTAAAGACAGGGTCTTGCTGTTGTTCAGGCTGGTCTCAAGCCTGTGAGCTCAAGCAATCCACCCACCTTGCCCAGCCCTAATTAGAGGATTTTTGAGCAGAAGAGTAGTAAGATCATTGTGACAATGGTCAAATAGAACAGATAGTGAGAATGAAAGACAGGGAAACTCCTTGGTAGGCTACTAGAATAATCCTATCAAGAAATTATTGTAGGCTCGGCGCCTGTGGCTCAAGTGGCTAAGGCGCCAGCCACATACACCCAAGGTGGCGGGTTCGAATCCCCAGCCC